CATCAGCTTCTACTTCATCCAGAATACCTTTTTCACCATCTTTTTGTGACACATTGGTCATTTGCAGTGCTTTTGGTGCCGAGGATGAGGAAGATTCAGCTCCCCCACTTGCAGGTGGCTGAAAAGTGCTTCTGTCCGAGATCTCCCATCCTCTCTCCTTTTCAAACCGGACCTGATTGGCCACGTGTACCAGGTGTTTCAGGAGTGTCAGCCGCTCCTCTGACATCTCGTCGTGGGAGTACTTGCAGAAATTTGACCCTTTCCGGCAACGTCCTCTGAGGTAATAATCGAAACAGCAATGGTGGAACCCTGCGTCCCTTAGCGCCTTCCTGGAAGCATTGTCCCAAGATTTGCCGGGCTCCCAAGTCCCTTCCAATGCTACATCATCGTTGTGAAGGTACCTGCATGCAGTCCCATATTTACAAGCACCTTGATTGTAATACAAGCACAGCCGACCTTTTGGCTCACCTGACGTAGGCTCACCCTTTGATGCACCTTTGCCAAAATTGTACTTGGCCCGGAAGGCTAAATCCTCCCGCTCCTGCTGTGCCTCATCCACTGTACCTTCCTCTGTGGGAGGGTCACCGATGTTCCCGTCCTCATCATCAGCTTCTTGGCTATTCTTTGGATCAGTTGACCCCCCTTCTGGCCAACCTTCACCGTACCGACGATGCTCATAGGGACACCCATCGCCATTGCGACACCTTCCCTTATTGAAGAACCTGCACAGCTTGCTGTAACCAGGTGACAACACCGTCTTTGGTGTCATGTAAGCCTTTTTGTACTGGTCAGGATCCATGTAGGCTTCCATTGGCTTGTTCTCCCTTTTGCTCATGGATTGCACTGCACCATCAAGCTCCTGCAAAAATAGCTTGGTGTCCAACCAAAGCGCGTTCCAAAACTCCTCTTCCCCTTGATCCAGCACCACTGCCACCGCATCACCCACAACTGGTCGAGAAAATCTCCTTTTCCTACGTGCCAGTTCGAAGAGCGCGTTGTGGTACTGTGTTCGGGAAAAGGTGGTTAACTCCCCCAAACCTGTGTTTTCTGTACCATCAGGCTCCCAACCATCATCTTGCAAGATGCCATACGCGCGCCGAGCTTCCGCATTGAGGAATGCCTGATCCGCAACACACTCCTGTAAATCTTCCATCGGCCGACCTAACAGCATCCCAGTAATTTTGCCAACATAGGCTTCCTCTTCATTTCCATTCTCCAGAAGAGCTTTGTAGATCTTTTCTCCATAAAGTTGCCTTTCTTTTCGTTCTTCAGAAGACAACTCCTGTACCACAAGCTCTTCATCGGATTGCTCTTCCTCCTGTTTCCAGTCCCATTGACCGTTGGAATCTTGGTACCATTGACCAGCATACCATGAATCCGTCCACCACGTACTCCAGCCGCTGGGTTTCCACTTCCGCAGCGTCGAAGAAGAGTCCTCCACGTCCTCTTCCAAAACCAGAAAGGTGTCCAAGATTATGGTACCATCATCTTCCACTCGTTTCACTGTTCCATTGACAGTATCACCAAACTTGAACTGATATGCATTGTTCCCTTCTGCAGGAATCAATACATTCATATCCCCATGGTCCAAAAAGGCTCCATACCCATTGATGCAGCGCACTAGACCCATGATCTCATCTCCCTCTTGATAGCAATGTGGCCCAGGTGACTCCAAAGCTCCCGCTCGGGGCACTTTCTTTACACGCTCTTCAGAAACCATCTCTGTATCATCGGCTCCTGGCGCATCCTTTGTCTTCACCTTTGGGTCACACTGTTCGTCCTGCTCCACGAGTCCCACAAGCTCATCTTTTTTGTGCTCCTGGATTTCAGGACCTCCCTTTTTCTCCGCCAACGGCTTTGCCTCATCTGCTGTAGTTCGCTCGGTGTCGACTTCCAGTGAACTTCCAGACGGCAACGCTTCTCCCTTCATGGGAGTGGACCCATCATTGGAGTCCTTTGTCTCACCTTCTGCAGCAGGCAAATCTTCTTCCACTGCAGGGCAATTGAGTCGATCATCCACGGCAGGCACGCTTTCTTCCACCGCAGGCTCCTTTGGTTCCATGGCCTCCAAAGGAGAATTTCCACCATCATTGACCACAGCTGCCTCATTGGCTCCGGTGTAGCCCTTGTCATTTCGTTCCTCGCTGCTAACTTCAGGTTGCACCAGTGCGTCCACCTGTGAACCTCCATCATCAGCTGCTGCGGAGACCTGCGCCCCATTGTTGCAGTCGCCCGTGGAACGTACCACCACATGCACCTCAACCCGTGCTTCCTTCGCACTCCAGGTAATATCTGGCGCATCAACCCGCGCATCATTGGCGCTCCAGGCCTCATTTTTCAGATCATCCGTGTCTCCAGCTATTCCAGAAGCTTCTTTTTCCCCTTGAATGGCAGAATTCTTGGCACCAAACGAAGAGACCTCCTCAGTCGTAACACACAACTTTTTCTCTCCATCCTCCGAATCTCCAGGACCACCTTCCTGAACAACAGGTACCACATCCACCACTCGCTCTTCTGCAGCCGACACAGTTCCGATCACCTCATTGGGCATTTTCTCTTCTGGATCCACCAATTCCATCGCTGCCCCACCCTCAGAAAGCGCTTCTGTTTCTTCCCGATCCAGGTGTTGAGCTCCAGCGATGTTGGCTTGGTTCCCAGGAATCCCTTCCTCATCAGGAGAACCCGAGGTCGGGGCGTCACCATCAGCCCTAGGACCGCTATCCCTGATAGTAGAGGAAAAATCTTTTTCACCTAAACTATTTACACTACCCTGGAATGCCCTCGTAGACTCAGTCTTCGGAGTAGAGGATGAAGAATCCAGTGCCGCCTCCATTTCCAGCTCATTGCCCAAAGGAGACCCAACCACCTCGTCACTCTTCACCTTTTCACCTACCACCGGCAATGTCCACTTGGTTTCGTGCGTATCCAGGCAGTAATAATATTGTCTCCCATCTTCATGGAGGTGCAATTCCCACATTGTGCCATCACACGCTTGGATCAGATGCTCGTCTTTCCGAAAACCGTCCCTTTCAGAAACCTGTCGCATCTCGTCCTCTTCTTCTGACAGCTGTCGCAACCGTTCAGCCTCCATCTGTAGGATCTCCTCCTCCCCCATGGCGTATTCAGCAGCAGGTGCAGCTTCAAAGCCGTCCGCACCCTTCTGTTTGTGACCGCTTCCACCACCTTGGGAACTCGAAGATGGACCCTTTTTGATCTTGTTCAACGGCCTCCTGGTCGCTTGTAGCACTTCTCCAATCAGATCGGTCTGAGACTCTTGGTCTACCATTCGACCCGAAGTCGAAGACGACGGCTGGTACCCGTGTTTGTGTAACACTCGTAAAACAGTCACCTCCATTTCACGATCTATGCCACCAGTCGCATCCCAGTTCCTTTTTTCACCAGGCTTTGGCGGTACAGAAACAGCACGTCCTTCAGCTTCAGCATTGCTAACCATATCCCTATTGGGATTCATACCCGCATTGGGGCTTTCTGCAACCAAGGCCTCTTCCAGATGTACTTCAGCGTCGGGAATCACCTCTTCCAACACCGATCTTTCACCCAGAGACTCAGCTGCACCATTTCCAGCTCCACCATCTTGTCCACCATCCGAGGCAAGTTGGAGCCATCGCTTCGGGGAAGGCATTGCTTCTTGATCCCAAAAACCTTGAAAGAACACTTAACCGCAGGGAACCTAATTTGGGCTCATAACCTACGGGGGGACAACCAAGGAAGGAAATCAACTCCCCTAATCGCCCTGAACTTATATTTCCCAGATCGAACCAAGAAACAACCAAGAACACGGATAAGAGCAACCCAGGGGGGAAGGAAAGGGGGAAGAAATCCACACCCTTACCAAACCCTAAGAACCCAGGCACTTCTTTTTGAACTTGTGGCTTTCTGTTCAAGCCCATCTTGAGCCAAACATGATTTCCGGGTTCATTAACCCTTCCAACTCTCAACACTAACTCTTTTCTACAATACCAATTGCAGCTCCGCATCGGGTTTAGGGTTTAGGATATGTTCTGGTTTCGAGGGTCCTACAACAGTTCCGGACACTTTGGGGGCATTTTGGGCCTCAGGACTTTTCAGTAGAATCGCGTGTTGTTGTTATGATGAGCCATTCAAACCACTACCAGTACCACCAAATAAGACCCTTTTCACAGCCTATGAATCATTCCAAAAAGGATCTCTATAAATGCTCTAACAAACGCTTGTCAAGCCTTACTTACACCCTGCAGAGCCATTACGAAGCCCTTCAGGACAAGTCTCGCGCACCAGAGTTGGGCCACGTGCTTCTCCTGACGGCGGCCAACTCTGGGCAACTGAGCTGGAGTCATTTGGGGGTTTACGAATATAGGGTACCCGCAAAATTTACCCCCAAGTAGTAGGATCCCCTTGAAAAAAGAAGGACCCCAATAAGGCACCCCTCATGTCGTAACCAGGTTCTTTTTGAGGGTGGTTTGGGGCCGCACAGGGGGGGTTCAGCATCAATTTGTAAGGGTATCTGTAGGGTTCTTGAGGCGTTCTTGAAGGTTTCGTTAAGGTCTTTAGGGGTTCTTCTGCATGATTCTTTAACACTTCAAGGTCTCTATCATCCATTATCCGGGTGCTGAATTCGATTACGTATTCGGATTCGTTATGGGTCCTCGGTGAAGGGCTCTGTACGGTTTAGGGGGTTACTTTTTGGGCTGGGCTTGCAGGTTTTGAGGTCCTGGTTTCGGGTTTGAGGACAAGGGTGCAGGGTTCGGTGTTCTTAAGCTTTGGGGTGCAGAGTTAAACCCTAAACCCTAAATATAGACCCTAAACCCTAAACCCTAAACCCTAAACCCTAAACCCTAAACCTAAAACCCTAAAACCCTAAACCCTAAACCCGCAAAGTCTGCACCTCAAACCCAAAACACTGGGTCCTCCAACCCCGAAGCTTCCCGAGGTATGTGGACATGCTGGAGAATTGGGAGTGCTTTGCTCGGAAGCTCGGGCTGGATTGGCTGGTGATCGCCATGGACGACGAGCTGCACCGACACCTGGGTGGGTTCAGATTTTTCGGGCTTGGCTTCGGGAGGCGAGGGTTTAGGGTTTAGGGTTTAGGGTTTTAGGGTTTAGGGTTTAGGGTTTAGGGTTTAGGGTTCGGCACCCAAGCATGAGCTTGTGAAGGCCATTTCCTAAACGCGAGCGCGGGTCGGCTTCATCAAACCATGAGGCTTGAATTGGTGCTGCGGGGTGTTCTGGTTGGCGGTTTGGGGCTGCAAGAATGCACGCGAAGAGTTTGAAGCAAGATTCATCTGAAATGATGTTATCTAGTAGCATCTAAGAACGACTAGCGGTATCCCGTAAATTTCCGAACTGTAAATTTAGAAGTAGCTGTTCTGATTCAGGGCGGTCGTTAAAAGTAGCAGAATCGACCCAACATTTTGTTCTAGCTTTTCAGGCCCCTGAATTCGGCACCCAAAGTCGTGAGAGCCGCGAAGGAAGGATGCCGAACAGGAGCTTCCCTTCCATTGGGCAGCATCCGGTCTTTGAATTTTTTGCAAGCCTTCTTTTGGTTTTGAGGCTGATTATGTTTGTTCAGCCCAGAACTCCAAAACACAAAGGGCTTCCGGGATGGAGGAGTTGGAGCTTTTGGTTTGTGGCTTTTGGGACCTAGGCACTATGAAGGCAACGCCAACTTTGGCAGCAACGGCTTCATGGTGGTTGCCTGCAACAAGCTTCGGTCAGTACTTTACGTGCTTGCCACTGGGCTGTACGATGTGGTTTTCACGGACAGCGACAACGTATTCAGGAGCCTCCCGAGTGTTAGAAGCGGTCGGCAATAGGCCAAAGGGGTGTTGCGGCTTCAGGGTTTGGGGTTGCATGTTGGAGGTTGAGGGTTCAGGTTTAAGTAGGAGGGTTCAGAGTTTTCGGTTTAAGGTTGAGGGTTTTTTTTGTAGACGTCCTGCGCTGTCGAATCGCAAACCCCTCGTCAGGAGCGACCCCTTCGCTTCCAATGTGTCGCTGGGGAGCCTGATGCGCGCCGGGACCTACGACTACGTCTATGGAGTGGCTAGAGCTGATTTCACTCAGTCATCTTCTGCTACCAGGACGGGCTATTATACCCTATAATCCCTTAAAAGGCCCTGTATAGGGTTCATTATGGGGATTTTAAGGCCTAATAGCCCATCCTGGTATAGGGAGTTTTTCCAGTTTCGCGTCCGTGCCGGCGTGGCCGCAGGGGAGCGTTCTCGAGCAGCGGGACCGCCCCAATTCCGCAGCACCAAGCCCTTAGTAACCAATTGTAATTGACCTTAAAACCATTTTAGGGCACTTCAAGGGCTTATGAGGTGGTTGTAAGATAGTTTCAATTGGTTACGATTTACCATGAACCTCCAAGTAAGCTCCAAACTCTTCGCGCTAGTGAGGTGAAATTCCTGCCTCCTGGCATCAAGCCCGACGATCACTTCGGGGAAAAGAGTGAGCCGAACAAGGCTTCAAGCAGTCTAGGGGAAAGTCAGTTAAAAAGAGAGGGGCTTGCCCAGTTCGTAGTACTGTTCCTCAGGGTTCCTTAGTCCAACAATATAAACTCCGGACCCTGGTCTATATTTGTTCCGGCTTCTTTTAACTCCTTTCAGGACCGTCGCCAAGAGTTCTGAATGCTTAGCAATGGTACTGTCTTGGGTTCAGTGTCGTCTATCAATCCCCGGTGCAGGCAGATCCCTATCCATTCAGAACCCTAACTCGGCCAGCCCCCTGCTGCTTTGAAGTGGCCCTAAACCACCTAAATTCTGGACTGAAAACCCTGAAGCATAAACCCCGAGCCCAAACACCCTAAACCCTAAACCCGAAACTTCATGAAGGCCAACACGGGCTTCTACTACATTGCAGGCAGGCAGAAGCCTCGGCTTGTGACGAAGGCCCTGGGTTTCTTGGGTTCAGGTGCTCTAAGAGTACCACAAGGGTTTTTTGTACGGGCACATCACGGGTTTTCTGTGGGGGCCGGAAGGGGTCGGGCTTTGGGTGTAGGCTTTCAGAGATTGCAGATCCAGTGCGCATCCCTGAGCAGACCTAAACAAAGACTGGTAGAACCTCTGAGACGGTATCCTGTCACCTTAGGTTCACTAGAAAAGGCCTTTTTCCAAAGACTCCATTTTTGCGGATCCTTTTGAGGGTCATTAAGCAGGGGCTGCTTGGGCTTCAAGGTTACCGTGGATGAGGGTCATCAGAATCATTCGGTATCTTCACCTCAGTCCTAAACCCTAAACCCTAAACCCTAAACCCTCAACCCTCAACCCTAAACCCTAAACCCCAAACCCCAAACCCAAACCCTAACCCCTAAACCCACGAGCAGCCCTCGACTTGAAGTCCTTCCCCTGGCGCCAGATTTTCAACATCAGCGTCGACTGGTGCGATCGGCGGCCGCACTTGGATGACCAGGAAAACTTCTGGGACTCCCTCGTGGTGAGCCGACAGAGGATGCTCTGCTTTTAGGGTTGAGGGTTTAGGGGACCTTCCATGTCTGATGACGAAGTGTAACTACCACGAGGGTGTTGTTCGTTTGCATGTTTTTGGCTTGCGCTGTCTTGTGAATATCATGAGATGTAGCGAAGTGGGTTACATCTTTGGTTCCGGCAGATATCGCGTAGAGCCCGGATGCAAAAAAGGGTTGAGGGTTTATAATCAGACTTGCTAAATCATAACCCCAAGAATCATAACCCCAAGTATAAGTCTACTTAGAGGACTTAGGGAGCTTATAAGTGCAGTTATGATTGGGGTTATAAGTACCCTGAACCTCCAAGTCCTTTTCAAGTTCAGAGTTTGGGAAGTCTAGTGACTTTACCTATACGTCTCTTTAATGAGGTAGTAGGGTGGAGGGCTTTAGATAAGGGCTTCAGGGTGTATTTTATGGTCCAGGGTTTAGGTTTTAGGTTTGCGCGGCTTGGAGCCTCGCCTCCTTAGCCCCCAATGCAAATCCAAAGCCGAAACCCTTACGTAGATCCCCAAGCCCGCAAGGCCCCAAGCGTAATGACGCTCGGGTTCTAGCAAGCTTGACTCTTCGGATAGGCTTCTGGGGACTTTGTTTTTGTGGGCTCTGATCCTTTTTCTGGAGGGATCTCCAAAGAACGCTTTTGCTTAGCTTCTAAGAGGAGCCTTGGTTTTGCTTAGCTTCTAAGAGGAGCCGTCGAAAACCACACATCCCTAAAGCGCCCATAAACCCCAAACCCCAAACCCCAAACCCCAAACCCCAAACCCCAAACCCCAAACCCCAAACCCCAAACCCCAAACCCCAAACCCCAAACCCTAAACCCTAAACCCTAAACCCTAAACCCCAAGCCCCAAGCTCAGGAAGAAGCGCCATCCGGAGTACGTGGGCTGCTTCCAACACTGTCAGAGCACGGTCTGCGCGTCCGAGCCGCCCGAAGAGACCTTCACGCAACTTCACCTGCGGGTTCAGGGTTTAGGGTTTAGGGTTTAGGGTTTAGGGTTTAGGGTTTAGGGTTTAGGGCGAAAATCTCGCAACCCCGAAATGCCTGCCCTAAACCCTGAACTCTAACACCGAGATTTGTCTCTGAACAGAAACCCGAAAGCCTACACCTTGAGCCCTTAAACTTTAAGACCTAGACTCTTGAGGTACTGCCTCATGAACCCTTTTGAGAACGTCCTGGGCTGTGTCAACCCCGAGATAGCCCTGAAAGAGCCGTTCCAGCAGCTTGGTTCAGGGCTTAAGGTTTAGGGGGCTTAGGGTTTAGGGGTTTAGGGTTTAAGGGGGTTGATGGGTTTAGGGGGTTTAGGGGGTTGAGGTTTAGGGTTCAGGTTCAGGTTCAGATTTTTTCGCATGACTTTCACGGGCGTGAACAATCGGTTTCATGGGTTTCCATAGTTGTGTTCAACTTTGGGCAGGGTTTTTCAGCATTGGAGTTTGCAAGCTGTAGAGTTTTGGGGTTCATCCAGCCCTCTGGGCGACTGTGCAGGGGAAGGGCTCATGGGTCTTACAACGGACCGACACGGTTCCATGAATGAGTTTCGCAGTTGGTTTGGAGCCTTTGAATGGAATTCCAAAACTTTGAGGGATGCCAGGCTTTGAAGCCCCAGAAGGCCCGCCCAAACATAAAAACCAAGGGCTTTACTTCAAGGCTCAGGGGAATTAGTAAGTCGGTTCCTCTGAGCTATGTTTGTTGGCTTCCCAATTCTGTAAAAGGTAAACTCGTCACCCTAAACCCTAAACCCTAAACCCTAAACCCTAAACCCTAAACCCTGCTAAACCCTAACTCTGCAGGTTCGGACTTCAGGGTCTTAGTATCCACAAATCCCCGGAATGCCCGTCGACTTTATGCTTGGCTCTTAACACTCTAAACCTTAATGAAATGCCACGGCCTCTTCGTAGTCAATCTGCACTCAGTCGCGTGGTTTAGCTTGAAGGCTTAAGGTTTCAGGTCCTGGCAGGACCCTGTTCCTCTCTTTGGGTGGTCTCCTTACTGAAACTGAGCCATAAGAAGACTAAGACGATGTTGCAAACACCGAGGTCATCATCTTTTGGGGGCTTTCATTTCCCAGCAGCTTTCAAATCCCAGGAACTCTGAGACCCATCTTCTTAAAGGATCTCAAGCCTCCCCAACGAGATCGGCTCAGACGTAGAGAGCTGGAGTAGAGCATAGGCCCAAAGGCATATTCTAAGTCGCCGAGATGACTCAGGCTCCAAAAGGCACGCTCAGAGCAAGCCTAAACCCTAAACCCTAAACCCCAAACCCCAAACCCTAAACCCTAAACCCTAAACCCTAAACCCTAAACCCTAAACCCATTTCGTGCCCAGGATGATAACGTACCATGCCACCCACGTCTTCGGCAAGACTGCGAAGCAGCACAAGCTGCGCCGAGCACAGCTCTGGGATCCCTGCTGACACAAAAACAAAAAGGAGCGCATGGGCGCTGACCAGCAGAAGCTATTTGGCCCTATCAATCCCCATAGTGAACCCTATAAAGGGGCCTTTTTGGGGGGGTGATAGGGTATAGTAGCCCATGCTGGTAGGGTTTGTACGCTTAGTCTTTTGGGGGTTGGGCAGGTTTCTGCGCCAGCTGGCACAGAAGACACGCACATCTATACTTTTGTATTTCTTGGTGCCTTCGTGCGTCGCTAAACAAGGGCCGGGTCACCGGGCCGTAATGTTGGCAAAGCTGATCAAACTTGCCTTTGTATTTAGTATCGATGTTATGAAATCGCGACGCCAGCATGTCATTTGACCTAGAGCGATGAGGGACAACTTTCTTATTTTCGAGAGTGCTGCACAGCGAAGGTATCTTGATTGCGGGTAGGGTTGAGGGTCCTCAGATTCTCTCTCTGCCTTTGCGACCCTAAACCCTAAACCCTATACCCTAAACCCTAAACCCTAACCCCTAAACCTAAACCCTAAACCCCAGGCACGCGCTGCCCCTTCCCCAGGGGTCAGTAGGAGCATGTTGAGGGCATCCAAGGCTCCCACCTTGAAGAGCCCCTTAACCCGATAACCCTATAACCATCTTTTTGTTACCCTATAATATAGGGTTTAGGGTTTAGAGTTTAGGGGTTTAGGGTTTAGGGTTTAGGGGTTTAGGTATTTATCCCTTTTGCCATCCCTTTTTAACCGATTTCGCAGCATCTTCCATTCAAGGGAGCACAGTGATTCGTGAGGCTGCAGAGGCCACAGTCGGTCGCACACGAGGGTGTTGTGCACAGATGTGCCTAGTCGGTTTCTCTGTTACCAGCTTCGGCAATAAGAGCAGGGGCAAGAAGGAGGGAACGGAAGTTCTTTGTAGGCTGGCATGTCCGTCCAGAGCCAACTGCAGAGCAAGCATATTATCTAGCTTTGAAGTGTGGAAGATGTTCAGCTATTTAGGCCCGGGTTTTCTCTGAGCCTTGATTGACTCCAACCTGCGTAAGCTTCATGACGTATTGCAAGTTGTTGTACATAATTATGAGTAACCTTACTGCTGTTGCTATTCAGTTCTAGCTTGTGTGGGCTTGCTGTGTGATGATGCGCAAAGTTCGGCTTTTTGAGCTTGAAAACTGCCAACAAAACAATGCGCTGAAGAGGTGCAGATGAGCACTGCCTTGCAGGAAGGGCCTCGAGTTATTGCTTCAAGTCTTCGCTTCTTTCACCAACATCTGCCAGGCTCACAGCGTTGCGCGAATGGACATGTTCAGTCGGTCAGTGGACACACTGTAATGGCCCGCTAGTCAGGTGCGAGAAAACGAGAAGTCCACATGCCAAATACCCCTAAACCCTAAACCCTAAACCCTAAACCCTAAAAACCAGGTCATGGCCAAGAGCGTGAGCTCTTCAGCATAGCCGGCCAGCATCCGCCATGGCCTTCAGCACAAGTCTGAGCCTTATGGGCCTTGCGCTGCTCAACGGAGCAGCAAGTACAGCTTTCCTTGACACTCAGAATCGCTGAGTGGGGCACACTTTACACTTTGTTTGGGACACTATAAACTCTAATCCCCTATAGAAGCTGAAAGTGCACACTTTTTCGGGGGGCTTATGAACTCAGCAACTAAGGACAAGTTTCAGCTCCTGGATGCCCTGATTCGGTGGGAGCTGGCCCCCTGGCAGAGGCAGACCCTGGTCTCTCAATTCGGGGATCTCTCTGCCTGGGATGTTTCAAGGTTGCATGACATGAGCTACTTATTCGCAGGCCTCGCAAACTTTAACGAGGATATCAGTCGATGGAACACCTCCTCAGTACGGAGCATGGTTGGCATGTTTTCCGGTGCCGCTCGCTTCAACCGGCCGATTGGTGGCTGGGATACCTCTGCGGTGAACAGTATGGCGGGCATGTTTGCTGGAGCAGCTCGGTTCAATCAACCGATTGGAGGTTGGGATACCTCCGCGGTGGTGGACATGAGTAGCATGTTCCAAGATGCCGATTCTTTCAATCAACCCCTCGCAGAGTGGAACACCTCCAGCGTCCAGTTGATGAGAAGCATGTTCTACAATGCCACGGCTTTCAACGCCTCGATCGGCACGTGGGATACAGGTGGGGAGGGGGCCTTGCAGATATTCCTCGGGCCTTGCACAAGGTGAATGAAGTCCTGCCTTAGTGCTTGCCATCTAGGGTCTTGGGTGTTTTGCTTGTTTTTTGTGTTTTGTGGGAAGGTGGCCAGTGGCCCTGGGTAAGTGTAGACTTTTGGGCAGCTCCACCCTGGCATTGGGTGAGCTGGCCAAGCGCCATTCATGGAGCCTAAGTGCCTGTTATCTCACCTTTAGGGTTTAGGGTTTAGGGTTTAGGGTTTCCCTGTCCACAGGTGCTGTCAGTGGCTTCAGCGGCATGTTCTTCAGCGCGGCATCCTTCAATCAGCCGCTCCTGACGTGGAATACCAGGTCCGCCGTGGACATGGTCGCGATGTTTGCTGGCGCAACGAAGTTTGACCAGCCCATCGGAGCTTGGATCACCTCTGGTGTTGTGGATATGAGTCAAATGTTCGAAGGCGCTGTCACTTTCAATCAGGATCTTCAGTCTTGGGACACCTCTGCGGTACGAAGTATGAGGAGCATGTTCTTCTATGCAAGTGCCTTCAACCAGCCAATAGGCTCTTGGAACACGTCAGCGGTGGTGAACATGAAGGAGATGTTCTCATCTGCGACTGCTTTCAACCATCCCATAGGCAACTGGGACACGTCCTCGGTCGTAGACATGAGCTACATGTTTTCATCCATGAACTCCTTCAACCAACCTCTTGAAGCCTGGGATACATCGGCAGTGAAGAACATGTCCTACATGTTCTTCAAGTCGATTGCTTTCAATCAAGCTCTCGAGAGGTGGAATACCTCGGCGGTGGAGGACATGAACCACATGTTCTTCGATGCCAATGGGTTCAACCGGCCCATTGGCACGTGGGACACGTCCTCGGTGAAAGACATGGGGGGGATGTTCTACTACAACAGGGTATTCAATCAACCTATTGGGTCATGGAACACGTCAAGGGTCACGAACATGCTGGGCATGTTCGGTCACGCAGAATCCTTCAACCAACCACTTGGAGCCTGGGACACAGGTGCAGTCGAATCTATGACTACGCTGTTCTACTACGCCACTTCCTTCAATCAGCCAATTGGCCAATGGAATACGCACTCCGTAAAGGACATGTTGGCCATGTTCCTATTTGCCAGTCAGTTCGACCAGGCCATTGGCAGCTGGAACGTTTCCAAAGTTGAGGACATGAGCCGCATGTTCCACTCTGCGAGCAGCTTTAACCAAGACATCGGAAGCTGGGACACCTCCGCAGTGAAAGATACTGGCTCAAATCCCCCATCTTTTCAACTCTTGGGCTTCTTTTTGAGGTCGTTTATTCTGAAAGTTTCAACTTTTCCTTGTGTTTTGGGCCAGTAAGGATATGAGTGGGATGTTCATGAAGGCAAGCTCCTTCAACCAGCCAATAGGCTCTTGGAACACCTCAGCGGTCGTGAACATGAAGGAGATGTTCTCATCTGCGACTGCTTTCAACCAGCCCATCGGCAACTGGGACACGTCCTCCGTCGTAAACATGAGTCACATGTTCGAAGGCGCGCACTCCTTTAATCAACCCCTTGGGCTTTGGGACACCTCTTCTGTGAAGATCATGTCCTACATGTTTCAGATGGCTTCAGCCTTCGATCAGCCTTTGGGCAGCTGGAACATCTCAGCTTTGTCGGAGGATGAGGCCGGAGGCGACCCAAAGTTCCTCTTAGTAGCTGAGTGAGTACACTTTACACCTTCTTGGGAGAGTATAATCCCCCTATGGGAACGGAAAGTGTACAGCTTTTTGGGGGCTTCTGACCTCAGCAACGAAGGTTCTTCTTTGACTCCATCTCCGGGTCCTCGATTTCGTCGTGTGTTCGATCTTCCATGTACCGCTCTTGGAACATCTCAACCGCCGTTGGCGGGTACCTGATTCACGCGGACTACAACGCATGCCCCAGCTGCGACAGCAGGCTTTGTCCGCAGACCTCTCTGGCTTGTGTCCAAGAGAGGTGCCGGCCTGTGAATTCCGGCTATGTGGAGCTTGGGAGGAAGAGTTTGGCAAAGAACTGCACGACCCGAATTGCTGGAGGCTTTCGGCAGTGCGCTCAGCGCTGTTCGGCATCAGAATGCTCCGGCTTTGCATTGGATGCGCCTGACTGCTTGCTCTACAACTGTGATTTGCTCAGCGTGGGTGCTGGTAGCTACGAGTCGTACTTAAAGCAGAGCTGTGGAAGTTTCACTTGCCCGGCTTCCAGCTACCTTGCTGACAGTCCGAAGTCTGGGGACGTCAATCCCGCATCCTGCTGCACTTGCTCCTCTCCCAACATGGTGGGCAGAATGGAGGGGCCCGAGTTTCGCTGTGTGACGTGTCCCGCTGGGCACGCTCCGGACGTCAGCCAGGTGACCTGCGTCGCCTGTGCGCATAGGACCTATGCAGCTCTTGGTGCTTCCGCTTGTCAGGCGTGCCCAAAAGGCTTGAAGGCGGTCCCAAATCGAACTCACTGTGAGAGATGCCCTGCCGGGATGTTTGCGTCCAAGTTAGACACTTGTGAGACGTGCTCTTTCCCACTGGTCTTGTATGACGATGGCTGCATCTGGTGGCACATGCCCCTCATTGTCGTGGGCTGCGTCCTCCTGGCCGTGTGTGTCCGAACTCTGGCCGGTGCCTGGGCGCAGCACAAGAAGACGAAGGGCACGGAGAGAGAGGCAACCTTCGGGGCTTTTGGGTTTTGGGGTTACTGCACGGTTGACAGTTTAGGGTAGTTTGGGCTTAGGGTTTTGGGTTTTGGGGTTAGCATAGAAACACATAAGTGTGCCAACGACCTTCGTCTTTGCATTCTTTGTCTCTGCACCAAAACCGCTGCAAAAAACCAACCCCTCTGCTCCACTCAACAACGGTGGTGGGGGTAGCAGGCTTCCAGCCCAAAACATCCACAGCCACGAACCCCAACCTCCCTACTCACCTGCACACCCAACCACATCCGCTTTGCTTCATCGGGCGAAGAGAGCATAAGCTTCGTGTGCATTTGATATGGCTTTCGCCGTGCGATGTGCCTTTCGCATCCTTTCACCGTTTCGTGCGTCGTCTTGGCAGAATGCTGTGCAATAGAGCACACTCAGAATACAAGCGAGACCGGGGGGGGGGGGGGGGGGGGGGGGGGGGGGGGGGGGGCAGGGTTCATTGAGCAGCTAAGTTTAGAGTTTGGGATGTTCCCCCTTATACTGCAGTCCTTTTTCGGGATTATCGCACCCCCTACTACGGTTGACACCATAAATCCTGCATGACTCTACCATACTAAACTACCATAATTCCTAGGGTTTAGGGTACTTAGGGTCATGCAGGACTTATATTATCAACCGTAGATTCCCTACTAGGGGTTATCGTACTCCCTACTCGAATCCCTAAAAAAAAAACTGCTAGCATAAGGGGGGAACATCCCAATCATAACCTCGTCAACCCAAGTGAAGGAGACCTTGCGGTGTTTTTTCTCTGAGTTGGAAGAGCAGCTCTGGGAGCACGACGAGCCCAAGATCTTGCACCGTGGTGGTGACCTGGGCCTCACGACCGAGGCTTTGGCAGAGCGGATGCAATCCATCCGGAAGCGGCAGAGCCTCGAAGCAGGCGAAGCCGTGGGAGTTCCGGGCTGCGTGTGTTTTTGTGGTTTGTTGAGTCTTCTTTTTGTGGTGAGTTGGTGTTAACGTATGAGATGTGCAGACTATGAGTTGATAGAGAGCAAGCACGTGGTATGGGCCACAGTCAGGTGGAGAGGCCTACTTGTTGCTTGCCCTTCAGAGAGAAGAGAGCGGACAGTGAAACGCAGCAGGTGTGGGCCTGCGCTACCTGCTGTCCCCCGATGGCTTTGCAGCTGTAGTGCGGCAGCGCATGACAGAGCTGGATCCCACGTTCAACGACATGAAGCCCGTTTTCTGGCTCAAAGAGAACGGCGTGAGGCCAATTGGTGAGGATGTGCTGTGCCCCCGAGACGGTCGCCCCGGCTGTGCACTAGTGGATTGGATCCCACGACATGCGCGATATCAGGCCTCTCACTTCATGTCTTGGACTTGGCAGTATCACCTGGGTCAGGTCCAAAGCGCTCTTGAGATGTGGGTGGCTGAGCATTTCAATCATCCGAGTGCGCACAGCGAAAGAGTATTCTTCTTCATGTGTTTCTTTACGAATAATCAGTTTAGAGTAATCGTCGAGGGGCTTTCCTCGGGCAGTGATGATCTGGAGAACGCCTTTCGAAGCAATCTCACGCGGATTGGCCAGATGGTGGCCATCCTTGACCACTGGAAACAGCCACGCTACTTGACTCGAGTTTGGACTATCTATGAGCAGTTCATCGCTTGCTCCTTGCAAGTGCCGGTGGTCTTCATCCTGCCACAATCCTCCCAAGAGTCACTCAAGACGCAAGTGTGCCTCGGTGAGACGGGCATCCGGCTGGTAACGGATTCTAGGATGCCCAGTAGTACCCTTATTCCCTTTTTGGGGGGTTTAGGTTCCCTTATAAACCCCTTTAAGCAAAAAAGGAGCGCCCTTTTTAAGCCTAGGGTACTGGGCAGCCTAGGATTGTCTCAGCCGTGTGGACTCCGCCGGAGCAGAGGCCTTCTACAAGGAGGACGAGGACAGAGTGAAAGCTGCCACTCGGCAGGCCGAATTGGGATAGTTTGACATTTCCCCCTTGTATTGGGTTTAAGAGGACTAAACCCTAAACCCTAAACCCTAAACCCTAAACCCTAAACCCTAAACCCTAAACCCTAAACCCTAAACCCGTTTCAGCAAGTCCTCTTTTGGGCCAACCGAGGCCATTCGTGATGACGTTGGTTTCGAGGCGGTGAACAAGCACGTGACACGCGTCATGGTGCGATGGATCGGCAGCGTGGTGCAAAGCCAATTCCAGGAGTTGATTGATGAGCGCGCCAGTGGGCCTGTTTGAAGGTTCATGGGTCGTTAGTTATATTAGTAGGGTAAGGTTAGAACTCAAGCCATAAGAAACCCCACTTAGACTTCTAACTTCTACCTTCTGACCCTAGCGATAAGTACCCATGAGTCTCGAAGTGTTTAACCCTCGAATTTATGTTCCGTGGCTGCGCTCGAAGAGAGCAGGTTCCAGCTCGTGTGTCGCTAAACAAGGGCCGGGTCACCGGGTCGCAATGTTGGCAAAGCTGATCAAACTTGCTTCTGTATTTAGTATCGTTGCTGTGTGACTTCGCGACGCCAGCCTGTCATGTACACATGTGGCACGCAACCTAGAGCGATGAGCTCAAAAGTGCACGTTTTCGAGAGTGCTGCTGGACGGCGAAGGTATCTCGACTGCGGCGACAATTTGCCATCAGGCTCCAGATTTCATGGCTGATCGAGGTTCCTAAGCAATCCCAGTCCCATTCGTACCAGTTTCGCGCCTCAATCAACGCATCGAGTCGCACTGTTCCCGCGGCGCAGGGTTTTCTCCCCAACGTGGTTTTTTCCCTGTGCCGTGCTTCATCTTCTGGAGCCTTTGAAACGTTCAGCGTGAGAGCAAAAATCCTTGAAATCGGCATCCCGGCCTTCTTTGTCAGCTACCTCCTCCTTAGGGTTTGGGGTTTAGGGTTTAGGGTTTAGGGTTTAGGTTTAGGGTTTAGGGTCGAGGGTCCTCAGATTCTTTCTCTCTCCCGCTGCTCTTCTCAGGCCAACGTCTCAACATTGCCCTTGCGAGCGCGGCACGCGCTGCCACTTCCCCAGGGGTCAGTAGGGGCATGTGGAGGGCATTGAAAGCTCCCACTTTGAAGGGTGCCTTAACCCTGTAACCCTATATCCATCCTGTTTTCTTCCCTACATCCCTTTTGCCATAGCCCTTTTGAAGCGATTTTGCAGCATCTTCCTCCTTTACCTCCATTCAATGGAGCACAGTGATTCGTGAGGCTGCAGAGGCCACAGTCGGTCGCACACGAACGTGTTGTGCACAGATGTGCCTAGTCGGTTTTTCTGTTCCCAGGATCTAGCCTTCGGCAACAATCGCAGTGGTAAAAAGGAGGGCTTGGTGGTGTGATGCGCAAAGTTTGCTGCTTTTGGAGCTTGAAAACTGCAAACAAAAACCACTGTGTCCCTGCAGAGGTGCAGATGAGAACTGCCGTGCAGGATGTTGAAGGTCCTCGAGTCGTTAAGTCTTCGCTTCTTTGCCCAATATCTGCTAGACTCAGCGTTGCGCGAATGGACATGTTCAGTCGGCCAGTGGACGCACTGGAATGGCCCGCTAGTCCTAGTGCGAGAAAACGAGAAGTCCACATGCCAAATACCGGCTCTTCGGTGTCAACAGGTCATGGCCAAGAGCGTGAGCACGGGCAGCATCCGCCACAGTGCAACAAGCTGCCAACCACACATGAACCCCCTAATTGAGGGCTTAGGGCCGTTTAGGGCATATGCGGTATGTTAGCCCCAAGCTTCCTAAACCCACTAAACTTCCCCAAGCTCAAGCCCAAGCCTTTTGAGAATCCCCAAAACCCTTGAAGGCGAGGTGTGAGGTGTGAGGGTTTAGGGTTTAGGGTTTAGGGTTTAGGGTTTAGGGTTTAGGGTTTAGGGTTTAGGGTTTAGTCTGAGAGCTCTGGGAGCGAAAGCTCCATCTTTAGCATTGGCCTACGCGCATCAAGAAGATACTTGGCGAAGCGTCGCGAAAGTGGGTGACCCGCTGTGAAGAGAACGGAAAAGGCATTGAGAGCAGATGCTCGCTGCGACTTCTGGCAAGGCTGTGCTCCACGAAAGTTGCGGCCCGTTTTTGCTGGAGAGCTTGTTGTCAGAAGTGTTGTTGCTTGTGACCCTGAAGCCTCAAAGGCATTCTAATGTTGGCCCGGAAAGAGTTACCGTAAACTTTTGGGGCCCCGCACAAAACATATCCGTCTTCAACCCTCACCCCCGAACCCCCAACCCCAAACCCGAACTGTGTTTTTTGCGGGTTTAGGGTTTAGTGCTTAGGGTCTCCCCATACCCCTCCCCCGCCCCCACTATAAGTCTTTCGGGAGTAGCGTTTGTGGCTGTTTGGGGTTTAGGGTTAGGCACGTAGGGTTGCCTGGGTTTATGGGTGTAGTGTTTAGGGCCTGAAGTTCTAGGTTGATTTATGGGACGTGGGGTTGGTCCTCATATCACAGACTAAGCGACTTGAGTGCTGCTTGATCGAATGTGCTACATGTATTGTTTTGCCCCACGAAGTTTTTTTATAACTTTTTGTTCCTTGCCTTTCGCAGACTCCAACAAATTTGGTGTTCTGGTTGGCGCTGGCAGCTGTAGGCTCCCAGCTTCAGCACTGGGCCTTAGAAGGAGACCTCCACTCCTCCACTCCTCCACTCCCCCTAAACCCTAAACCCTAAACGCCATGTCTCGGACGCGTTCTGCGGGCTGCGGCTGCCATGTTCCTGAGACCTACCGGTCTTGCCAGGAGGGAGCTTGGGATGCCTTATATTTCCCCTGGGGTTTAGGGATTTAGGGTTTAGGGTTCAGGGTTTAGGGTTTAGGGTTTAGGGTTGTTCTTCGTAGGGAATGGGGGAAAAAATGAGGGGACCTGTATATACCCTTTAAGAGATTTTATATGGTACCTTATTCCCTCATTCCTTACTAAGAACCAGGCAGTTCTATTTTCCCTCGTTGGGTTTCAGAGGATCTTGTTGAAGGGTTTTGGGTTTGGGGGGGGGTTCAGGGGTCAACCTCGCATGTAAAGCAGGACTTGCATGGCGTTCCTTCGGGGATGTCTTTACTGGTCTTTCTTCCCAACGCTACTATTTCGCTGGTCTTGGTCCTTGATTTTACACTTTTCCCCTGTCTTTATCTGATGGTTGTTAGGGGCCGAAAACACTTTTTAGAAGCACGCCCATCTTGCCTTACGGCGAAGAAGTAGCATTCGTCATCGGCGTGAGATGGCAGCGTACACTTGTATGAATCCTTCGGGTAGTTCGGTCTTTCGAAGGACTCTGGCAAAGCGCAAAAAAAGATCGCTCAGTCCCTCAACCCCGAGCAGGGGACTTTTGTTGCCCTAGCAGAAGGTCACCAACAAAGGCAACCCGAAACCTAAAACCCCTAAAACCCTTAAAACCCCTAAAACCCCTTATCCCAATCTAGAGGGCATAGGGCCAGTTTGAGCAACATTGGATACCCCCAAGCCCTTTCCAATTTCCAGATGAACTCGAACCTGCGATGGAGTGAAGGACGTTGAGGTTTAGGGGTTTGAAATAGCCTGCAACCTCGCAGGCTAAAACTCCTTAATTCGTAAGCAGAGGGCACAATCATGGTATGAAACTGTGAATCCTCGAGTAAGCCCTAATCTAAGGTTGAGTTGGAACTATGGGCCCTTCGTGTGGTCCCTTGCCCTTGTTCGGATGCGAAGTATGGTGCCCTTACTATGTATAGAGTACGTAAGTTTTACATATATGACAAGGGACTCAAATGAAGGGCCCATACTTGGCACCCAACCAGCCCTAGAGCCAGAGTTCAACCGCGGCAGGAAGGGATCTAATGCAAAAAACGCCCTAAATCCTAAACCCTCAGCGCTAAATCCTAACCCTAAACCCTATTTCCCAACCCTGAATCCTGGACCCTAAACCCTAAACCCTAAACCCTGAATCCTGGACCTGGATTCACCATGTTTGCAAATTGAGGAGAGGCGTGGGGCCTTCGATGAGCACATCTCTCGAGGACCCATGCAGCAGGATCGCCCTTAAGGCCCTGCGCTTCGGGTTTCGTAGTCCCTAAACCCAAAAGGACTTCAGAGTATTTACATATATATATATACATGTGTTACCGACTGCGGACATGCAAGGACTGCTCGACGAGTTATGGCTCCGGGCCGCAGAAAATATCTTCGCCCCACCGCTGGCAAACTTCACTGCACAGACGGCATGAACCCCAAGCATGACATGTAGCCAAACGCCACGCTCAAACCTGGCCGAAGCACCCTAAACTCCCAAGCGGCGGAACCTTCGATCAAGTGAGCCAAAACCTCCGATTTTTGGCATGCCAAGTTCGAAGCCGTGAACCCTAAATATTTAAGACGCCCGGCCTGCGCCAACGTGTTTGGCTTACATGCTGAGTGTCCCTGCTCGTTTCACCACGCGTCGAAGAACCTAGACAAGATATGCACTAATCAGCTGGCAGAACGTAGCGAAGCCCCGCAAGCTCATGGGTTATAGGTGCCTTTATGGCGATTACAGCTATACTTGCTTGAACCCCCAACAATTTTGAGACTGAAAACCCCTATATGTCCGTTCTAACGACGATCATTTTTACTTTTTTGGGGGGTTCTTTCTTCAGCAAATCGTAGATTAAGGCTGTCGGGCTGTCGTAGGTTGGGCAGGTAGTTTCGGGCCTTTAGGGCTCCCCACTGCATTGCTTCCGCTCCCAAGCCGCTACAGATCTGGGAGACAGAGGGAGTGGGAGCCATGAGCACGTCGCCGCCGGCTTTTGTTGAGGAGAACCAGCAGTATGTGGACGATGCCATGATGGAGATGGAGAAGCTTAGGTGCTGAGCATGTAACCTTTTAATTTTCTCTTTGGAGAGGCTTTTTTAGTCTCAACCTTTCTTCTAAACCCACGGTTAACCTTGGTCCCCCGCTCCACCCCCCGCCGCCCCCCCCTTCCGCCCAACTCAGAGCACCCCAGGAAGAGCATGCGCTCCCTCTCGAGCAGAAACAAGCCATGGGAAGATGAAGAGGGCAATCACACCTGGCCCTCACTTAGGGTAAAGGTTGCCTCAGTCGTTCGTTCTGGTGCTTACGAGCTTTGCTTGGGAACGGTCATTCTTTGCAACCTCCTCCTGGTCATTGTTGAGACGGATTTGGATGCCCGGTGCTTTCCAGAATACGCCAGCATGCAACTCCATGAGTGTCCACACGCCGGCAGCAAGATCACTTGGATTCGTTACGCGAACCTCTGCCTGCTCGTCATCTACTCCATCGAGGTCTTTGCACGGCTATACGTCGAGCGGTGCCAACTGTTTTGCAACTTGGCAGCCCAGTGGTACCCTTTACCTTTTTTGGTTATGGGTTCCCTTGATAATTAGCCAAATCCAAAAAAGGGTGCCCTTATTACAATATGGTTACCCTAACCCTAAACCCTAAACCCTAATAAACCCTAAACCCTAAACCCTAAACCCTAAACCCTAAACCCTAAACCCTAAACCCTAAACCCTAACCCATTACCGGGCTACCAAGGCAACAAGTGGAACCTGCTTGACATCGGCATCGTGATGACTGGCTGGGCAGATTACGGCTTGGTGCAGATCGTTCCTTGTTTAGGGTTATAGGGTTTAGGGCTTAGGGTCCCTAAAAATCGGGGTTTATACCCTGAAGTACTGTCATAACAGTTAAGGACCATGAAAACCCTAGATCCTTGTTGAAGTTTCGAATGTGGTCCCCCAGGAACCCTAAAATCGGGGTATACCCTGAGTTGCTGTCATAAGAATTAAGGAATATGAGCCATAAGTCCTGGTTTAAGTTTCATGTGGTCCCCCAGGTTAACATGGGTTTTGCCAGAATGTTCAGACTGATCCGCCTCGCACGGGCTCTGCGGCTGCTGATCAACGTCCCGGAGCTCTACCTTCTGATCTCCGGCCTCTACTCGTCCTTCAAGGCGACTGGGGGCTTTTTCAAAACCCTCAACCCTCAACCCTAAACCCTAAACCCTAAACCCTCTTTCTGGTGTTTAGAAACCCTCTTCTGCTGGGTTTTTTACAGAAACCCTCTCCTTCTCAAGGCGATTGTCTTCGGATCCTTCTTGCTCATCGCAATCATCTCGTTGTGGGCGCTCATCGCTGTTCAGGTCCTCCACCCCATTACATCGATCCAGGATGCTGCCCAGTGCCTTAGGGATACTTATTTTTTTTTTTTTTTTTTTTTTTTTTTTTTTTTTTTTTTTCAATTTTTGGGCACTTTAATTCCTAAGAAACAGCTAAAATTATAATTTTTGCTCGGGTTCCAAGTTCCTAATAGGTGCGAGCGTTGCGGCATCGGCTACAGCAGCGTGTTCCAGGCCTTTGTCACGATCTTCCAGCAGATCGTGGCGGGAGATTCCTGGGGCACGATCAGCCTGCCCTTGATCGACGCAGCGCCGTGGACTCTCGCACTGCTCTTCCTCATGTCAATGACCGTCTCCATGGGCGTCTTGAATCTCATTCTAGCTGCTATATCCCCCTTGGGAATTATTTTTGTGTTTTTGTTTATAAGGATACTAACCATATTATGTTTATCAAGGTTCTAAACGGGGAGCAGAGGCTGTCATTGTTGAGAGAGCAGCAGAAGCCCGAGAGAACGATCGCGACAAGAAGCTTCAGAGCAAGTATGAGGAGCGCTCGAAGAACATCAAGGAGCTGGCCGGCATCTGCGGCACCATCGATCGTGACCAAAATGGCTTCATCTCCTTCTCGGAGATGGAGACGGCCTACGATGAGGTGGCCCCTATCCCCCTTGGGGGTTTCTTATTCTTTGTTCATATAAAAAACCCAAGAGGGTATTCAGCATTTTATTTTAGTTAAGGTTCTAAACGGGGAGTAGAAGTGGATTGTGTTTCATTTTTGTTTATCTAAAACCCAAGAGTGATGTTTTTTGAATTAAGGCTATAAAAGGGAAGTAGAGGTGGATTAATTTTTTATATAAAACCGAAGAGGGCAATTTTTTAAATTAAGGCTCCAAAAGGGGGGCAGAGGTGGATTATTTTTAGATAAAACCCAAGAGGGTGATTTTTAAATTAAGGTTCTAGAAGGGGAGTAGAGGTGGAGGAGTTCACGAAGCTAATGGACATCATGGACATCAAGCGTGACGAGATGCAGACGATCTTTCGTGCTCTGGGCGACCGCTTTGGCCCGGCTCAGGAGGAGCACCTTGGGTTTAGGGTTTAGGGTTTAGGGTTTAGGGTTTAGGGTTTAGGGTTTAGGGTTTAGGGTTTAGGGTTTAGGGTTTAGGGTTTAGGGTTTAGGACTCCAATACCCCTGAATTAAGGTTAATATTCCTTAAGTCGTAGTAGGGTTCCTTGTATGGTTTCAGGAATATTCCTTAAGTCATAGTAGGGTTCCTTGTATGGGTTAAGGAATACTCCTTAAGTCATAGTGTATGGGTTCAGGAATACTCCTTAAATCATAGTAGGGCTCCTTATATGGTTTAAGGAATACTCCTCAATTATTGGGGTACTGGAGTCTCCGGGAGGAGCAGCTGTCCTACACGGAGCTTGTCGAGACGCTTTCCGCTTTCCAGCTGCGCGACCCTGTGATGATGCAGTCCTTCTTGAAGTACTCCGTCATGGAGGTGCGCAAGATCCTCAAGGAGGAGGTCTTGTGCATCCTGAACCAACACACGGCCATGCTCAAGGCCGCGCTGCCGCAAATGCCGCAGTTCTCGCCAGCCGCGGAAGCCGCGCAAGCCGCGGAAGCAGTCGTGAGCCCCACCAGCAGCTTGAGATCCGAGGGGGTGCCCTGCGAGCGCCAGGAGGAGGAAGACCTCGACGAAGCGAGCTTCCTCCAGAGGCTCCAGTCCATCCATGCGTCTTGGTAGCCCAGATGGTACCCTTTTTTCCCCTTTTTTTGGGGGGGCTCAAGGCCCAAAAAGAAGGGGGTGCCCGTCTTGTAAATGTGGTTGCCTCTTACCCCTTTGGGGTTCAAGGTTCCCTTACACAAGTAACCACCCCCAAAAAAAGGGGGGGGGGGGGGGGCGCCCGTATTATTTAAAATGCGGTTCCTGGCTTTGTGGTACTTTACTGTAACTTTAGATCCTTACCTTTTTTGGGGTTTATTGGGTTTCTTATTAAGGCAGCTAAAAGTTTAATTTATAGCTACCCTCCCGAGTGCAGCCAAGCTGGGCTAACCCTAAACCCTAAACCCTAAAGTTAGTGGGCAAGGAGCAGATCCAGCCTTTGCTGGCCCAAGCGGAGGAGGTGGCCAGGGCGGCTTTGGACTTGAACCTTAATGCTGCTCTATTCGTTGTTGGGAACGATGTTTTGTTTTTTTGTTTATATAAAACCCAAGGGGATACTAGAATTATTAAGGTTCTAAGGGGAGTCTAGAATGGTTTTAATGAAGGTTCTCTAAGGGGAGTCTAGGCTGCAACCGCTTCCTCGGGGACAGCGTCCTGGGCCCTGGCCAGCCGAAACGTGGGCGAATGGTCTCCCGACGCCCCGAGTAGCCAAAAGCTACAGAGCGATGATGATGCAGAAGGCCCTGCTGAGCTGCAACTGGCCCAGCTCCGCGCCAACTTTCGCGACCGCGCGAAGGAGGCCGAACGCCTTCAGCGCAGGTGTCGGCAGCTCGCTGCGGTGCCAGCTCCTTCCGGAGAGGCGAAATTGCCCAAAGCCCGAAAGAAGACCTCGCTGATCAGTCGTCAGGCCGGAGATGTTGTGTCACAAGTATCACGAATGCTCTTGCAGAGGCCTTGAGAATCTTGAGCCGCTGGTGGTCCTGCGCAGGTTCTCAAGAGGAGAACCCAGAAAAGCATCCCCTTTTTCTAATCACGCAGTGTACGAACCTTGAGAGCAAGCAGACGAATCATATAAACTCTACAACCTACCAGCACGCATCCCCTAGAAGAAACGCCTTAGGTTTGCTGCAGGTGTTGCTCAATGCCAGCATACCAGGACGTGACCTGCATCGGCCACAACAGCAAGAGATCTGAGTTCAAAACACAGACCGAGGCCTGGGTTCATCCAAGCTATTCGGAGATCCGAGATCCGAAACCCAGCAACCCTAAAACTCAGGGTTTAGGGTTTAGGGTTTAGGGTTCAGGGTTCAGGGTTCAGGGTTCAGGGTTTAGGGTTTCAATTCCTTGTAGCATTCAGCTCCCCAAGCTCTGCACCAAAACCTACAACTTAGTCTTGAAAGCGTAAGCCCTATAGAACCTGCACCCTCAACCTCATCCCTAACCCTTAACCCTGAAGTCTGAACCCTAAACCTTTTCAGGACTTAGAATTCCAAGCCCGTAATCCTACATCTTGACTCATCTTGACCCTTACTCCCAGAATCCTAAACCCCGAATCCTTCACTCCTAAGCCGTAGACCCTCCTAGTTTAGGGTTTAGGGTTTAGGGTTTAGGGTCTCTAAGCCCTCTGCCCTCAAACTCCTCAGCCCCGGCAATGCTCAGCCCGAAGCCCTGTACACCCTATCAAATCGTGATACCCTACTTGGAGGAGGGGGATGGCAGCCGGAGCTTCGCAAAAAGTACTCTGTCAGAACATCCGGTGGCTTTTGTCCTCACAAAATAAAGAGGGTTTAGGGTCTAGGGTTTAGGGTTTAGGGTTTAGGGTTTAGGGTTTGGGGTTTAGGGTTGCTTATTGGAGATTGCGCCAGCTTCGGTCCTGGTCGGAAAAAAGGGTTGCGTATCCACATCATACTTTATATGGGTTTGTAGGGCATATATTCAGGGTTCCTATTAGGGTATATAGGGCTATATTAAGGCAAAAGGGTAACAGATAAAGAGGCCACCGGCCTTTCTAAATCATACTTGAGAACGCGCGCTTACGCATAACCTAGACGACTGGCTCGAGGAAAGGAGCACCCTGAACTCGAAACCACGTTTGGCTGCGCGGTTCAGTTTTCGTAGTCCCCAAACCCAACAAGACTTCAGCCGTATCTGTTACCAATTGCAGACACGCAAGGACGGCTCGACGAGTTATGGCTCCTCCGCACGATCATCGGAGGCAAGGCAATGCTCCAGGAACTTGAAGTCGTCTTCGCAGCTTGCAAGCCCACGCCCCTGAACCCTAAACCCTGAACCCTAAACCCTAAACCCTAAACCCTAAACCCTAAACCCTAAACCCTAGACCCTAGACCCTAAACCCTACACCCTAAACCCTAAACCCTAAACCCTAAACAAAACAAACAGATTAGTCAGGCGAAGGGTTGGAGAGCCCGCTGCGCAGCACAAGCGCAACCAGGGCTGGACTCTGGATGCCGATGAGGTGCCGGACGAAGGGGCATGTAAAGTGGGGTTTAGGGTTTAGGATTTAGAGTTTAGGGTTTAGGGTTTAGGGTTTAGGGTTTAGGGTTTAGGGTTTAGGGTTTAGGGTTTAGGGTTTAGGGTTTAGGGATGGGGGTTTAGGGCTTAGGGTTCTCTACTCTAGCTGTGTTATGCTATAAGAGAGTATGATGGTAAAAACATACTTTTCCACATGCGTTTAACAGACACTGCAGCATGATGTCTCCTAGTGTCTTACTACAGTGCCTGCACAGCAACTTGCGTTGCCACAGTTGGGGCTTCATGGAGGGGAGGCCGGGTTCAGGCGCTCTCCATCAGCCGCCCGAAAAGGCCTGAAAAACCCGAAACCCTAAACCCTAAACCCTAAACCCGCATCCCCCAAAGCCCTCCGTGAACTTTTCCTGCGGCTGCTCAAGGTGTTTGCCCTTAGCGCTCTGGGCGCCCCTCTAGGCCGTGGAACTTCTCGCCACCTCCCTTCTTGTTTTAGGTGTTTTCAGGCGCCATGTCACCCTTGCAGGCCTGGCTAAGCTGCACCTCCCGTGCAGAGGAGGCGGCGGCCCATGGGTTGGGCAAGGTGGCCAAGGCCTGCGCGCGCAATCCCTGGAAGTGCATCAGCTTCTTGGGGAGGACCACGTATGATACCCCTAGAAGAGAGGGTCATTTTTGGCCCTAGAACTGCTAGAATCCCTCCTGGGATACCCTGGAACTACTTTAGAATCCCTATGCTTGGCTATAGTGAAAAAAGGAAACCCTCAACCCCCTTTTTAAGGGGCTCATGTTCGGTCCCTTCTCTAAGGCCTGACCATCTTCGGCTGCTTGCTCTGCGCTGTGGGCGTCCTGCGCTTCAGCGCCGCCAGCGAAGCGCGAGACCTATGGGTGGACCAGAACTCGAAGGCCATGAAGGACATGGAGTGGACGGAGCAGTACCTTGGGGAAATACCTCGCAGATACCTTAGTAGTTTAGGGTTTAGGGTTTAGGGCTTAGGGTTTAGGGTTTAGGGTTTAGGGTTTAGGGTTTAGGGCTTAGTAATTTAGGGCCTGCGGTCTTCGGTAATCCCTAGTAGGGCACATGAGCCAGAAAGCTGAAGGTACTTCTCCAACGCCGGCCGCCTGAATCGAATCTTGGTCACAGCAAAGGATGGTGGCAGCATTCTTCGCATGGAGACCATGGCGGAGATCTTCCGCCTGGCGGATGACGTGAAAGCCCTGAGGGATGAGAACGGCAATGCTTTTGCCAACGTGTGCCTCCAGGTGCCCTCCGGGTGCTTGAACCCGGGCATCCGCCGCTATTTCGGAACTGGCACCTCCGCCGACTTCAACCAGACAGTCCAGACACAGGCCTTGGGCTAGCCCAGAGTGGTACCCTTTTTACCCTTTTGTTAGTAGCCAACTCAAAAAAAGTTGGGGTGCCCTTATTTTTATTACTACTACTATTATTACTATTATTACTATTATTACTATTATTACTATTATTACTATTATTATTATTACAATACATAAATAAATATATATATATATATATATATATATATATGTGGTTACTGGGCTACTAAGAGGCAGACATCCTCCTGGCCGTGAACAAGGCCAACTTCCCGGATGGTGCGCCGGCCTTCGCTGACGACTCCATGGGGGGCCTCGTCCGCGACGGCAGCGGAAGCATCACGAGCGCCACGGCCGGCCGGGTCGACTTCATCTTGAGTGGAGATGCCGAGGCCCTGCAAGCATGGGAGGAGGTCTTGATAGAGCACTTCACGAAAGACCAGCTCACTTTGCAAAGCTACCAGCACCTGAACGCCTTCGTGCAGGCCGAGCGCTCCCAGGACGACGAGCTGAGCCGCACGGTGCAGGCGGACATCCCGCTCTTTGCCATGGCATTCGTCCTCATGGGCTCCTTCTGCGCTGTTTTCCTGGGAAAGGTCCTGTCCTGGACACAGAGTCGGAGGCTGCTAGGGCTCGTCGAGTTCTACCTCGTGATCTTCGGGTGCATTGCGGGCTATGGAACCTGCATGCTGATGGGAATCCCCTTCACCGTGCTGCAGCAGATCCTTCCCTTCATCTTGGTTGGGATCGGCATCGATGACGCCTTCGTCATCTCCGGTGCCTTTGATGCCCTGGACCCTTCCGAGGGAATCCCGGAGCGCATTGAGAAGGCCATGCGTCGTGTCGGAGTTTCCATCACCCTGACGAAGGTCACCTCCATCGCCTCATTTCTCCTGGGTGCCACCGGCGTCTTCCCCTCGGTGAAGTGGTTCTGTGCCTACGCATCCTGCTCTTGCTTCTACATCTGGCTACTCCACTGCACCACCTTCTGCGCGATTCTGGCCCTCGATGCCCGGCGCGCGAGCGCCGATCCACCCCGGCTCGACCCGTGCTTCTGCATCGGGGCCAGGGCTTCGTGCATGCCAGGGAAGGGCTCGGAGAAAGCCTCGCCTCTCGAGAGGGTGCTCGTGGCGATGATCCGCTTCCTTACCAGCCATCCGGCCATCTCCCTCGCAACGATCCTGGTGTTTCTTCTGGTGGCAGCCCTGTCTGCTTGGCAGGTCAGCCTCGGTCTTAGCACCGACTTCAACAT